TCAAGGCAGGCTTCCAGTTCCCAGGTCCCCACACTGTATCCATCAAAAAGGCTGCTGGTCTTTTCCCTGCTCCTACAGCAACAGCCATCAACAAATCACCCTTGGTGTTGCAGGTGAGTTGTCTCACAAACACCCATCCTCCGCCTCACACCCGGGGAGCAGAGGGATCAGTTTCCCCACATTTTCTTCTCCTCAGTCGGCTCCTCCCCGAGGTCCATCTAGGGTGGGGGATTAGGGGTTGATCTAAAAGTGCCCCTTTGCCCTGGCCGTTCCGGCACTAGTCATTCTAATTTTTTGGTTGGGAGTCCGTCCATCAAATCCCGGGAACACCTTTCTGAAGCCCTCGCTGCCACAGACCCTGTTGGTTTAGGGGTCTCTCTCCCAGAATTACGATCTCGGATCGACCTCAAGCCTCAGCCCCTCTGAGAGGTGATCGCCACTCACTAAGTCGTTCTGCAGCCCGTGCAACCCTGCTTTCAGTTCTTTGGTGCAATCTGCCAACAGGGCCATATTTTCTGCCAAAGTTAATCAATTCCTGGGCTATCTCTGCCCATGTCCATACTTTCCTCCCTGGCCGCCAACAGTCCGGGGTCCCTGTCCCATCCAGACCAGCTGTAATTCTTTCTCCATCAGGGATGTTTTTAATCCTCTCTTGTAATTGAATCCCAATGGGTTTCAGGGAGTCAGGGAGTCCTTGTATCAGGGGAGTCATCCTCTCTGTGGCCACAGACATCATCATTGGKGAACCCTGGTTCGGCTTGAGCTCCCGAYCACACATCATCTGGAGACAGGCTGCCTTTTGCACRCTTTCCACTAACTGATCCACCGTTCCTGTTATAGCGAGGGGATCTCCCTTCGCTAAGGGGTTCAACCCTCCTGCCCCATACACAGCTCTCTGAGTCAAAGACCATGGGGCTCGACAGTCACCYGGACCCCAATATCCTTCTACTTCTTTCTCTGACAACAAGATTCCATCCCCTCCTGACAGAGACACTCTCCACACGTACTCTGTCTCTGATTCCTTCGCAGTTCTTGCGAACTCTTTTCTCACCTTTGCTAGTTCACTTGCAGTAAATGGGACTTCTTTGGTGATAACCTGAGGCTGGTCATCGCTATCATCCTCGTACCCATGCTCTCCTTTAATCAGCGGACACATATGGGGGGTGCTTTTTACAGCTTCTTCGGCCTTCTGCAAGTTTCCCTGGGGATAAATTTGCTGTATCCCTTTCTCTGCATGCATCATTCCTACTTCTGATTGGGTATCTACTTCCCTCAAAAGTTTATTCCTCAACTYGTTCTTTAATATCATGTTTTGGTTTCTTTCCTCCTCCAACAACTGTTTGTTCTCCTTTAACTGTTCCTGCAACCCCCTACAGGGAATCTATCACAACATCYGTTTGACAAAAGTTGTGCTTTCTCTCTTGCACTGCGGCTGCCGGACTCGCTCCCAGCACTGCACAAATTAGAGCTTTTCCCTTCCCCCTCTTAACCCTAGCTTCCTTCTGCAGTACTCTTATCCTATCATCTGCCCCACTCTGCGGTTGAAACTAATGATTCTTTGTCCAGTCTTGTCCCCAGGGTGAGGGSCAAGATCAAGTCACAAACAAGGTCAAATGCCATACAACATTACAAGCTCTATTCTCATAATAGTGATAGGACAAAGAGAAGAAGAAGAAAAGGAAASAAGAAGAAGAAAGATAAGCAAGCAAGCAGGAGAGATGCAGCAGGATAAGTTACCACCACCACCACCAGTCCAGTTACATTTTGTCAGCTCTGCCTCAGTGCAGGTGATGATCTTTTGGAAGAGAGTTGGGAAGAAGGAGAAGAAGCTTCTCTCTCTGCGTGCCACCATCAGTGGAGAAAAAAATGTAGTCCTTTTATTGCTCCCAGTTCTTGAAGAGTCTTCCCACTTTCTTGAAGCTTTTTGCTTTGGTGCTCCTCTTCCACTCAACTGCCAGCGCCGCTCGGCAGGCTCTGCTGAGCATTGTTGGGGTCTTGAGCTGATCCACGAAGTCCTAAATTGTGTAGAGATAACAAACCTTGAGCTGGTATCCTAATCTTCCCAGAGACAGGGCGCCAAGGCCAAGAAGTTGTTAATTGCATGGAGACAAAACACTTGGAGCTCATATCTCAGTCTTCCCAGAGACAGGATGCCAAGGCCAAGAAATCATAAATTGCATGGAGATAAACACTTAGAGCCAATATCGTAGTCTTCTCAGTGATAGGAGGTCAGGAATTTGTAAATTGTATGGSAACAATGTCGAGACAAAACACAGACCACAACAGTCTTTTACAAACACAAAACAAGATTGAACACAGTTTGGGGGCCTTTGTAAAATTGTCTGGARGTGACTCTTCTCATCCGATTGAAATCATTTTGTTCCCTGAGATACATTAATCCTTCTCCTACATGAGGCTTCAGGCAGAAATTGCTATTCAGTGGGTGGATGAATTTTCCCACTTGCTTACTCCCTTTTGCACAAATAAATTCATAGAAGRAAAGAGGACTTTGCAGCTTCGGCCACTGGGTGAATTTCAGTGGAAAAGCATCTTTCATCTTCTTTTTGGTGCCTGAGAGCAGCCTCAGGCACCAAAAAGGAGATGAAAGATGCTCTCTCTCCTCCAAAAGGAGGAGCCTCCAGAAGGAAGCTCCAAAAGGACTTGCTGGAGACTGCTAGTAGTCGAGAAATGGAGTCCTAATAGATGTGTTATATGCTACCCAGGAGTGCCTTTTGCAAGAGTAAAATAGGCAGATCCCTGTCAGGAGTCAGCATTTTCCTTACCTGTTGTGCCACTTTTCTCTTCCAAGCCACTTTCTGCTGCCTTCTTCTCTGGGCCAGGCCATAGACACACTGAGGCACGGCATGCCTTTGGTATGCCAAGGGATAGTTAATCCCCAAGCCTGGGAACAAGAAGACAGAGATGAAACCAACACGAGAGCCTCACAAATGCTGGCTTCCCATTTGCAGCCCAGCAAGAAACTGCAGGTCTTTGTGACACACTCCCAAACATTCAGCACTAAAACCGACAGCGCTGCTGAGGGAAACAGCCTTAGGACCAACAGGACCAGCCACCAAATCAGGAAGCACCTCAGGATGGCACCTCTGTGCCAGCTCCTACCAGAACGACGGGCAGGCTTGCTCCAGGACGTGGAAGAGCTGTGTGCGCCAGCACTGCTCACCCRTGGCAGCACGTTCCCTACCCTCATCTCAGCTCCTTCTTTCTCTGCCTTCTCTCCTTTACACCCAAACCTGAAATTCAGAGGACGACACTGGTTTGAATAAAGGACATTCCAATTCATCATTTGCATTAAGGATCTGTGCAGAACAGATTGAGAACTGTTTATTTAACAAGAGCAAGCTTAATGATACCCAGGCGGGAGGCAGCTCCATGCAGCCTTACCAAACGTGAGGCCAGAAGCTGCTCTTTTTGTCAGTCACAGCTACAGAAGCAAAGATGCTTCCTGCAGGTCTACGAGGACACCCCTAGACACCATTGTCCTGGTCTAGGACGTGCTAGAGCGGAGGCTGAAGGATGTGTAGACCTTTTCTTGACCCAATACAGCTTTTTCTCAAGTTCTCCTCTGTCACAAAGTCTTCACTGAATGCTACAGAACAGGACATGGCAAGCCCAAAAGCTCATTCCAAGTCTTAGATCAGATTGCAAAGCAAACAAACAAAGACCTTAAACTGAGGAAAGATTTCACCGGGCTGCCACTCTTATCTTCAGCTTCAATAAAACCTCCATAAATTCTTATGACCATGTTCTTCACTTGGCAGACAAGAATGTCCTTGGTAACAAAATCCTTTCAATTTGTTAAGGCCTGGCTGAAAACTTCCACGGTTGCAGCACTATGGTCCAGCACCTAGTGCTGAGGAATGTGGGTGCTCAGCGTTATCGGTGCACAGTCCGCCTCTGGCCTTTGGAAATGGCCCAGAAAAGGGCCACACAGGAACAAAAGTGGCTTTTACAGCCGCTTGGTGGATTCAGATCAGCATGATACGCTCCTATGGAGCTGTCTGGTTGAATTCTCTGGTACAGCACCTGAAACAAGTTTTTGTTGTCCCCGTGTACTGTAAGCTAAAGCCCGAAATGGCAGGTGGGCAACAGTGCCTGCTTAGCTACAAAAATGGGAATGAGGAAACTGAGCCCCTGGTGTGACTGCTGCGCAGGACGGAGCAGGACGGCACCGAGGTGATGAAGGGAGGGGAGGCGGGTGCCCTGCCAAGGGGATCAGGAGGCCAAGGGCACGTCCGTGCTGAGCACACGCGGCATCCAAAGGGCACCGCACCGTGAGCCTTGACAAACAGCGGTGATGAAGAAGCAAAGACAAGGGCTGCAGAACAGCCCCAGCATGGTATTCACCACCCCTGCTCATCCTCACACCCACAAAGCAAGCAGCAAATGTCTCACATGGTGCCACGATGCCTGGGAAGGGCAGGGACCCAGTCATCTAAGCAGGACAAAATTTAGTAGTTTAGAGAGCATTGCTTAAAAAAAAAAAAAAAAAAAAAAAAAAAGCATTTGGGCTCTTTTTATTATTTTTTTTTCCAGAAATACAGCCTGCAGAGCAGTTAGCGCGGGCACAGCTACAGCCCCAGGGGAAGCCAACTGCCAAATCTCTCCTCTCCTCAGAGATCCCTGCCATAGTACCAGACATACTTGTGAGGTACAAAGGGTTAATCCAGACAAAACACGGGTGTTCGCACACGGAAACCTTGCTGGTTCGTGTAACAAAAGGAGCCCCTCAGAACACTGAGGGTCCCCACACTTGCCAGCCTCGGAGCCTGAGGGCGGGAGGGCCAGAAAGGAGCCCGAAGCGCCGTTTTTCAGACGTAAGGCCTGGGAGACGCCTCGCCGGCCGCAGCGACCCCGCACTACAACGCCCAGCGAGCCCCGCGGTGGGCGGCGGCCACTGCGCCTGCGCAGCGCCTGGAACCTTCCAGGCGGCGGCCGCGGAGCTCGCTGGGTAGGAGACGGTTAGTCATCTCAGCGCCATTTTGTGGTGAGGGAGTGAGGAGTTGCGCAGGTGTGTTCGGTGCTCTGGGGGTCGCGGTTGGCGCTGCGCCGTGYGCTTGTGGATCGCGGCTGACGCCATGGGCTCGGACAAGCGGTGAGTGCGGGTTGGGGAGAGGGAGGAGGCCATCTGGCGCGGGTGGCCCTGCGGCGTGGAAAATGGTGGGCCGTACTGAGCTGGGTCCGGTGTGTCCCGCAGCGTGAGCAGGACGGAGCGGAGCGGCCGCTACGGCTCCATCGTGGAGAGAGAGGATCGCGATGAGCGGGAGTCTCGGAGTCGGCGCAGGGACTCGGACTATAAGCGGTCCAGCGAGGAGCGCCGCGGCGACCGCTATGATGACTACCGCGACTACGACAGCCGMGACTACGACAGCCGAGACTACGACAGTCGCGACGGCCGGGACTGCCGCGACTACGACAGTCGCGACTACGACAGTCGCGACAGCCGGGACTGCCGCGACTACGACAGTCGCGACAGCCGGGACTGCCGCGACTACGACAGCCGGGACTGCCGCGACTACGACAGCCGGGACTGCCGAGATTATGATAGTCGCGACAGCCGGGACTACGACTGCAGGGACTATGACAGCCGGGACTGCCGAGACTATGACAGTCGCGACAGTCGAGATTACGACAGTCGCGACTACGACAGAGATTACGACAGCCGCGACTACGACAGCCCCGAGGTGAGTGGGGGAGTCAAACTGGGCCTTGGGCCCCCGGTTGGACCCCGGGGTCCCGGGCTGCTCTGGCCACCCCGGGACGGGGAGGAAGGGAGGGAGATGCAAAAAAATCCTGGGGATTTGCTAAGGCAAGCGTGGGAGTCGAGCTCTCACCCCTTTCTGCAAGGAGGTGCTAAGAGAAAACCCGACCAAGGTGCTTTTGTCTGAGGATATTTATTTTAACGTGTGTTCACGTGCTTTTGGCAAATGTGGCTATTAATTCTGACTGCTGACTTCCCAGAGGGAGCGGGAGCGCAGGAATAGTGACAAATCGGAAGATGGGTACCATTCTGATGGCGAATACGGAGAGCATGACTACAGGAATGACATTAACGATGAGAAAGAAAGCAAGACCATCATGTTACGTGGCCTTCCCATCACTGTTACAGAAAATGATGTAAGTAGCCAGGAGTGGAATTTACTCTTTTTGCCCACTGAAAAACGTGAAGCTGTGTATCAGCAGGTCTGTATGACAGTGACTGCTGTCATTTTCATGACAGTTTCAGTTGTGGTGGACCCAGCTTAAAGCTGTTCGTAGCACTTCCATTTTGGGGTTTGGAAGCATTTTAAACTATCAGAATTGTACCTGAACAATAAGCTCCTGGTGTTTATTTTAAACAGAATAGCCCCAATAGTCTGATTTTGTGCATGTTTAGATACTTTCCCTTAGACTTGATGTGTTTTAAGCTGTCTTCTGCTCTTTTTCTTCAGTATAGAACAAAAGTCTATATTTTTAGATTTTTATTATTTTCTGGGAAAAAGCAACACGGTTTATTTTTGTACAGGTTTTTCCTGAAGCAAGAAACTGGCACTGGAATGGTTTTTATAGATACTTGGAGCTCCTCAGCTAAGTAGGGTGTGCACAAAGCTGCTTTGTGTTGCTGCAGCTGTGGGAGTCATAAAATGGCTGCTGTGGAGCTGACAGGAAGTACAAATAAGCTGGCTGGATGGTTATCTAACTCCTGCCTTTGCAGAGCCATTTCACCTTCTAGGAGAAGGACCTTAGAAGTGATTAGGGTTTTTATTTTTTTTTTTTAATTTTTTAATTTTTTTTGTTTCACTTTCAGAACTGCTCAAAACAGAGTTGTAAATATTGTAGCTATGTTGTTTTGCTAATAACAGTAACGTAGACATGAGGAATGTATGGGAAAATTCAAACAAAATTTTAGTTCTTAGCCAGTCTGCAGAGTACATATTGTGCTTTTCAGACCTGTTGGTTGTTCTGTTTTGAGCTAGCATTTATATGACTCTCTAAATTACAGCTGTGCATGTTTTCCAGCACTCAGTTCTTTCTTGAAAAGAGTTACTTGCTTGAATATCCAGTTCCAGCAGGCATGTAAACAAGCACATAGCAATCGGTTTGATTCTTGTCTACCAAACAGCTCTTATATCTGACAGTGGGAGTGCTGTTAGACCTCTCGAAAAGCTGCATGTTCTCTTAATTAACTATTCACCTTTTTTCTCCTGCGTGCCTCTGTCCAATAAGTTATGTAGCATGTRGCACAATCGAGGCAGCTTTGGTAGGAATAAAGGCGTGATATCATCTTAGCTTGTTTTTTGACAGCATGTTCTTCATAATCTAATTTCTCCCCTGAAAAATATGGGCAGAGGCTGTGTTAGGGGGCGATGATTGTAGCTTGAGGCTTAAGAATYCATATATATCATGGAGCCTTGTAGCATAGGGTTTTGGCTTTACTTTGCTAGCAGTAGTATTTTGATATGCAAGGAGGCGATCGCAACAACGTTTATAATAAACACTGGAGGAAGCAGTCTACTAAAATTTGTATGAATAACCTTGCAACACAAAGCCTTTGTTTTTCAGGTTCTCAGTGATTGTGTGGTCTAAATGAAGGCTGCAGTTTTTTCAGCATAGCAAAAAAGTGCTTGATTATGTGATGATTCTTCTTCTAGGTTTTTCCTTGTCTTTGTAGGTTTTTTTTTTTTTTTTTTTTT